AAGACTCTTTAAGCAGGATGTCAAAATCAGGAACTATAAATAAAAGTGCTAGAACATGGCTATCTAATATTTTTAAACTATACATTTAAAAAAGCCATGTAAAGAGTTAAATAGAAAATAACCAGCTGTGACAATATTTGCCATATATGGTATCAGAAACAGCACATGTCTTTATCTTTAGAGGTTTTTTCAAATCAAAAGAAAGCCTACTAGAGAGAAAGCGTAATGTAATATATAAATGGGCAGCTATTTAATAAAAGAGCCAAGTCATAAAAGAAATTCAGATGACTAATAAAGAGAAAATGCTCAGTCTTAGAAGTAATTTTTAAAAGTGCAGTTTAGAACCCTGTTCAATTCTGTATGATTGGATTCATTATATTTATGAGTTTATATGTCTGTCTTCCCTACCAGTCTGAGCTCATCCAGGACAGGATCTGTTGTCTTGATTTTTTATTACTATTTTTTTAATGCCTGCCCTTTCCCTATATGCCTGTCACATAGTTGGATAAAAGGATGGAGAGATAAGGAATGTAGTTTGAGCCTATTTGTAAGTTTTAGCTTCTGTCATCATGTATGCGTTATAGGGTCACAATAACAATTTTGAATCAAGGGATTTGGATGATTTTTGATAACTGTTGCACTGTTAATGATTTTCAACATACTTTGAAACAAATACGTTAGTAATTTTTGAGAATCCTTTTAGGTCACGGTTTGAATCTAGTTCTATAGATAGTCTTAGAAGCATGTCAGGAACGCAAGGCAAGGTTCAGAGGGATATATGTTACAGTATATATTCAAATTATTTGATGTCTATCATCTATTAGAATATAAGTTCCAAGAGAATAGAGACTTTGGTTGCTGACACTAGAGTATTGTCTGGCAAATTTGAAGTACTCAGTAAGTTTTTTGAAAGAAGAGGCCCAGATTGTTTTGTGTCCTTCCCCCACCACCAGTTTACATCACACCTAGCCTTATATCACCTTCATAGCCATCATTTTAAGTAGCAGCAAAATATTCCATTGTATGCCACATAATTTACGTGATCTTCCCTTCATATTAGATATTTCAGTTGCTTGCTTTTTCTTTTATGCAAAATGCTATAGTGAATATGTTCCTGCTTATAGTCTTTCCAGTATTTATGATTATTTCGTTAGGGCAAATTCTTAGAAATAGCCTCAATGGATGAATAGACATGTACATATATTTTGGCTCATGGTACAAATTTCCAGTATACTTAATTTAATAGCAAATACATAATTAATGTCAGTTATTTCAGTCGGTATGTGAACTACTCTGTTTTCATAGCCAGGAAGTCCTGCTGTCCTCATAAAGGTGCTTTGTAGATATTTTATCTTTTGAAGATTTACATTGGAAGTCTGAATCCTCATAAATAATACATTCATAGAAGTAGAAAAAGGCAATGTATTTTGAGTCAAAGCAAATTGACAGCAAGGGTAATGTATTCTTTTATCACATAATACAGAGAAAATAGTGGGAAGATAATAACTGGTATTAATTCCTGAAAGTGTTTAAACATGCCAATTAGGTAGAAAACAAGGAAATATCTTGGTGAATATTGAAAATATTCACCTATTACTTCTTTCCTCCTTCCTTGCCTTTTTGGGGGGTAGGGTGGGAGGGAGGACTTTTGTTTTTAATTCACTTATTGTAGAATTCATAAGTATTTTCTAACTGTATATATCTTTCTTTTAGTTTTTATAAGAGAAATTATCAAGGGCGTGCATTTTGTATTCCGGAATGTCGGGGTTTATAAGGACTATTAAGTACCACTATATTTATGTTTATGCAGCCCTTTAAAATTGCACATTTTTGTCAAATATCATAAAAGCTTAGTCCTTTGGCTTTTACAGTTAGGATTTGCCGGTATCCTTGTGCCTTTGCTTCTCCCTGCCTGAAAGCATGTTTTTTATTTAATTATCTCTCCTTTCACAGGCGCTGGCCATTAATATTCCTTGCCCTTGACTCAGGAAGTCCCAGACCTTATTAAGTAGACAAATTCTTGTGGATTGCCTGCTGGGCCCTGTGATAGTCCTGGAGCCTGCCTTTATTGGCATAAGTTTTCGGAACGGATATCCTGGATTGCTTTCCAAATTCTAAATTACTAATGTCTTCCTATTAACTTCATCTAGCTCTTTATTTTCTAATAAATTACTGGCTTTACTTGGAATATGTTGATTAGGTTCCTTGTGTGACTTCTCTAAGCATGTTTTGTACCATATTACCATTCCTAGCATAGTATTCTCTAATTTTACACAAGTCTAATGGTAGAAAAATAATCATGGCCTTCAGATGATAAAAAATAGATAGTGCATATTCAAAGGCCATGGTTACTATTAAATATTTTTATATCTCCAAGTAGAATACCAAAAGTTGACAAAAATATGAAAGGAAGTTGTCAAAATCTCTTATCTTGATGGCAGATAATACTTTTACCTTGCTATATAAAGGATATCAAAAGATCAGTAATGATAAAAGAGATTTAAATAGCACAGTTAACAAGCTTGACCTAATGGTCACATATACAACATGGTACCCACAATGGAGAATACTTTTTATTTCCACATACTCATGGAAGAGTTAAAGACCCACATAAACACATACACACACACACACATATAGGCCTACATATTTTGGAATATATAAAAGCTAGTTTCAGTTATTTCAGGAGATGAGTATCTTGCAAGTTCTATTATTTAACCCAATGTAATAAGCATAGGACTTACTTGGAAAAAGTAAAACTTCATTTATAAACTCTAGAAACACACCTGTAAACAGCTAAATAATAACAAAAATAATAATTTGTGGGACACTGTACTTAAAGTGGTTAAGGGAAATTTATAACCTGAAATGCTTACAATGCTAAGCTTGAATGCTTAGAACAAAAGAAAGGCTTAAAATTAATGAGCCATGCTTTCAAGTTAAAAATGTAAAACAACAGAATTAACGCGGATAAATTATGGTGAAATAAAAAAGCGGAGTTTAATGAAATAGAAAACAAGCATGTAACAGAGGAGATCATCAAAGTCAAGCAATAGTACTTTGAAAAGAATAATAAGACAAACCTATGTCAAAGTTAAAAATGGAAAAAATATTAGGAATGAAAAAAATATGTAACTATAGATGCAAAAGAGAAGAGATATTTTACAACTTTGTGCAAAATCTTTTGAAAAACTTAGATGAAATAACTTTTTCTAGTAATATATCAAAAACGGTTCAAATAGAAAATTGGAGTAGTTTTATAACTATAACCAGTGAAGAAATGGAATCAGTAGCAAATATCTTCCCACAAAGAAACATTGGACCCAAACAGCTTAATGGGTAAACTCCAAGAACAGATAATTCTCATTTTTTTTTTTTTTACAGAATCTTCCAGATAATAAAAATGTGGCACTGTTCAACTCATCAAAAAGGCTAGCATAACAAAAACAGGACAATGCAAGAATATAAATATACAAGAAAAAGAAAAGGAAATCTGCAGGCTAGTCTCAATCATGAATATTGATACAAAATGCCAAACTACAGCATTCTAAATCTGTTTTTTTTTTTTTAAGGAAATAGGTTTATCTTTGAAAAGCAAGAAAATGCTGAACCACCACAATTACTAATCATCTCAGTAGGTACAGGAAAAATTTTAATAGAGCATTCATTTCTGGATTACAGATAGGTAGGATCTATGATCTGTATCTGATTTATATGATATCTATGACCATCCATAAAATGTACCTGCATCTGTGATAGAAAATCCAGGACATAACTGATATACCATAATATATATCACATATCTGATATATGAGTATAAAACACATACTCTGATTTATTTGTGGGTATCTAATGAACTAGGAAGAGAATTTCCTTTACCCATGAAAGACCAACTATAAGATACCTGGAGCAGTGATCACCTCTAGAGGTAAAATGCTAAAAATACTCCCTTTAAAAAGAAATTTAAGGGCACCTGGGTGGCTCAGATGGTTAAGCATCTGCCTTCGGTTCAGGTCATGATCCCAGCGTCCTGGGATCGAGTCCCGCATCAGGCTCCCTGCTCCTTGGGAGCCTGCTTCTCCCTCTGCCCCTCTCTCTCTCTCTGTCTCTCATGAATAAATAAATAAAATCTTTTAAAAAAAAAAGAAATTTAAGACAATTATTAATATAGAACCCAGAATCCTAGCTACTCTGGTGGTAGTGTGGGCTTGGGATGAGAGGAAGATGTGACCAGGGTAGGGCACAAAGAGAACTCTTCTGATATACTGGTATATTCTCCCTCTTAATCTGAGTGGTGGGAATGCTGATTTTTATTCTTTAAACTGTATCTCATTTTTGGACACTTAATATACGATTTACATAATAAAATGTTTTTAGTGAGTAGATGAGAGATGTCTAGTGAATAAAGATTTAGAGATGTAGGGGTGGAAAACCTTTCCTTTCTTCTAGTTTCTTTGGCTGGTCTAATAATTGACATAAGGCAGATTAACAGGAGAAAAACAAATTTAATTTGTATGTAAATGAAATATGAGACTCAAAGAAGTGACAAGAGGGCAGCTTTTATATTTCTTAGACAAACAATAAATTTTTGAAGAATTGACAGAGAAGTTTGAGCTCTGGGGATGGTAAGTTAGTAAAGAAGTAATGAGGTTTGTTTATACAGTCTCCTTGGCCCTAAATTCCCTGTTTCTGGTAATAAGGATATTTTCTACTACGGGTGACCGGAGAAGGTATCTTTCATGTGGGAGATGTATTTCCTGCTTTCAGGGGAAGGTCTAAGTAGTCAGAGTATCCTTGTTGCACTTAAGTAACTTTAATTCAAGATAATGTGCCAAAATGGCATATACGGGAGTGGCCTGTCCTGAGCCCTCGAAGAATAGTTGTTGAAGATGTGTGTTTATGAAGGATCTGAGGTAAAAGGCAGTTTTCTGGGAGTTCCCAGGATCATGAGTGAGCACAATTCTTTACATATGCATTGTTGTTTATTTGTCTTATTCTAACAGAATTGGCAGCGCCTTTCCCTTCACGTATCATCCTTGTGCAGGGCCATGCTAATCTTGTCTGTATTGTTCCAATTTTAATATATGTGCTGCCAAAGCGAGCACGCATTTCCCTTCACGTAAAGTGGCAGGGAGATGGGGTTAAAAGATGAAACTCATCAAGTCCCCCAGTGATGGTTAACGTGGTCGTCAGTATATTTCTCTTTGGAGAACGGCACATTGCTATAGATGGGGAATTACAAACAATCGTATAAAACAGGGTAAGTACTTTTGGGGGATTTTGACATTAGAGGAAAAAAATAACAAATTTTTATGAGGAGAATTAATTTAAAAGATGAACAGATTCTATATAAACCTGTTAGGCTGTGTCTACATGGCTACTACAAATCTTTGATTTCAATTGTAAAGAAAATGTCTTGAAGGATTAGTTTTCCACATTTAATCACATGACACCAAATAAAAACGAATATGTCCTGGGAATCTACTCCAGAATTGTCATCTGGATGGCCTTGACCACTCAAGGCTGAAGATCCCACACACAAAATTGAGAATGTTTCTCCCTTATTTTGGTTCTGAATCCCTTTTCATTTTTAGTCTTAGTTGAGCTCTACTTTATCTCAGGCCATCTTAATTCTATGAAATGGCAAAAATTCTTTGCTAACCCCTTTCTAGAAGTCTAAAATAAAAATTAAGCTGCTTTTCCATCCTAATTGAATCTGTCCTTTCCCTCTGGCATATGACTTTAATTTCGGAGAACAAATGGCGTCTGGATACGAGTTTCCGCGGTCACTGAAGTGGTCTCTGCTTTACTGTACACATATTACGGTGTTATCACTGCTGTGGTTGCAGAGGAAGATGTCACAGTTATTCAATTTTTATTAGACTTTCCTCCATTTTTTTTGTATTTCCCAAGCTTTCTGAATATGGTTTATAAAACAAAGTTCAGATAATGCCTTTAAAAGGGTAAATTTGTTTTTTTAAAACAATATAAGAAAATCTGTATTTTTATATGGCGATTTACTTGTAGCAGGGATCCTTATTTTGTTTAATCTCACTTTTGTGTGTTTTTCTCAATGGCATTTTCTTCCTGCTTTGCTGCATCTCGTGTCTGTGATCTCAGAGTTATGAGAAATATTGATAAGATTTTTTAATACCAGGTGTGTGCCAGTTGAGTTTGTAAATACGCTAGGATGAATTGGTGTGTGGTAAAGCTGAGATGCCACTAATTAAAAGATAAGCCAAGAAAAATGTTATTTTGTTATGATGATTTGAAAAGCCAGATGTCGACAGACTTACTCCATTCCTAGGAGAGTGTGTTGGGAAATAAACTGCAAAACGTTCATATTTTTACAGTGCTTATTTCTTTCCTTTTGATAGGAACTTTTAAAAATCATATAAAGTAATAGACTTGAGATAATTACCTCCGCTTTTTAAAATATAAAATATCTGGTAAAGACTTTCCAAGAAGTGATAGGGTAAAGTCTTCAGCATGCAAAAAAAGTTTTCCGTGAAACTGTCTTTTATATAAAGAAACTTTTAGCGATTTCTCTCTAGGCATCCATAAGAATGGGGTTATAATTTGTATTTGAATAAATAATAGATTTCAGTGACTACATATATAATGCTTTACCTTAACCTAAATTCTCATTGCACACTGTCTTTTATACTCTAATGTGCTAATTTTTGGAACAGCTTTGGAATTATTGTAAGCTGTAAAACTTATTGTTATTTTTCTTCTTGACTGTGCCATCTGTCAGAAACAAAAGCAAAGATAAAAATCTCATTGAGCCACAAAAGATTCTGTATTGGCTTAATGGGCCTTCTAAGGAGATACATCTGTCTGGAAAAAAATTAATGCATTTTAAAGAAAATCTTTGTGACTTTATTGCAGATGGGGAACTCAAGGTGATTTCACCACCACCCATCCTCGGCCTGTGGTCAAAGTAAAACTCTTCACGGAAAGCACTGGGGTCCTGGCCCTTGAAGATAAAGAACTGGGAAGGGTGAGTTGTACTCAGCCCTGTGTGTTCAAGGTCACACATTTTTACTTCTTTCGATTCACAGTTAAAGTAGACCAGTACGTAGCGTGTGAACTTTCTGTTCATAAACTACGTAAAATAATTTATTTGTAATTTTGCACAGTCCCAGATTACAGCTCCAGTTTTTTAAACATAATTGTCAATGACTTAGAAAGTAGTGTGATGGGCTTTGGGTATGTAAAGGTTGCGTATATAAGATAATAGGGACCCGTTTTTCTTACACATGTACTGCTCAGTGGATCTGAATGATACAGGCAAACTTGTCCTTCTTGGTGAGAAGTAATTCTCGTTTAAACATTTCTGTCCATGAGTTAAAAGCATCTTGATATTTGAAGTCATCTGTTTAGGTCCATTATGATTAGACTGATTAGAATATCTAAGGCTACTTCTCTCTTACCTCTCCTGCTTTCCCTGTGAGAAGCTCTTTTTCACACATCTTTTAACATTGAATTTTTTATCCTGTACTCACCTCATACCTGGAATATATTTATCCTCTAATGCTAGTGTCTCTCCACTATACTCAGCCTCTTTTGGCAGTTAAAAGCATTAAGATTCGGGTAGATTTGTGATCTTAACACCTCTCTGTCTGAAAGATTATCTGCAGTCTGATTTATAAAGTAGATGGGCTTCAGTGAGTAGGCTATAAAGTTATCTTCTGTAACATGGATCTCTCTTACCCAGACCTGAAGACTGAATTTATAGGTATTTTCCAGAGATTAAAGCCTTCCAAAATCTTCCTTGAAAATTTCTGGTGATGATTGACAGCTTGTGTGGTGCTAGATTTTGAAGGATACTGGGATCACTGGGTATATTGGAATTTTTTTTCTCCGAAGTTGTGATTTCTATTCATTTCAAATCCTTCTCTTCTGTCCCCTTTAGAGTTTTTCCATTTCTAGGGATTTTGTGAATCGGTACCCACACTCCAGAAATTGAGAGTCAGCAGTCACATTCCCAATTTCGTCCTCTGTTTCCTTATTAAATGTATTCGTTAAGACTTACGAGCTAAGCCATACCATTTATTCATGTGCTTACGTATTTGTGCACTGATTCATTCAACAAAAGTGTGGAGGTAGCATAATCTCACAGAAGAGCCCTGGAGATTGCATTTGGTCTTCCGGATTGATGAATCAGTACTTTTCATTTAAACTATTATTACGTTAATTTTACCCTATTTGCTTTATAACTATTTCGTACAGTCTAATAGCAGCCATTTTAAGTCTAAAGCTATAATGTAATTCTTTAGATATTTTTAATTCATTTCTCCACTGGCCATATATATATTTGAGCAGGTTTTATTTTTTTTAATATTTATTTATTTGACAGAGAGAGAGACACAGCGAGAGAGGGAACACAAGCAGGGGAGTGGGAGAGGGAGAAGCAGGCTTCCCGCCGAGCAGGGAGCCCAATGCAGGGCTCCATCCCAGGACGCTGGGATCGTGACCCGAGCAGGAGGCAGACGCTTAACGACTGAGCCACCCAGGCGCCCCTAAGCAGGTTTTAAATTGGGTATGTAAGTGGTATGTTTTCCTGTCAGTTGTAGGTCTGAGAAAGGCCTCATACTCCTTTGCTCCCTTCATATAAGACCACTTTTCTTTCTGTACAAGAGTTTCTGAACCCCAGCACTATTGATATTTTGAGCAGGAGAATGCTTTGTTGTTAGGAGCTTTTCTGTACGCTTTAGTTAGCAGCATCCATAGCCTCTGTCAGATGCCAGTAGTTCACCCAGTCTAAATCAAGATGATAAAAATGTCTTCAGACATTCCTGAATGGAGCTGTGCAACATCATCCCACTTAGAGATCCGTTGAACTAGACTGATGATCTGAGTAGGTTCCGTGATTGTAATGATGATTTATGTGTTAATGACTTCCAGTTTTTTATTTTTCTTTCTTGGAGCTTCGAATTGCATATCCAGCCTGCATACTTGGTATTTCTAGTTGCATTTAACGGTTATCTCAAACTAAATATTTCTAAAATAGAACTTAATGATTAGCACCCCCATAAAGTCTTTCAGAGAGGCAGTTTTCAAGCCAGTGACCTTGATACATAATACTGCTATCTATTTGCAAGTTCTGTCAGCTTTCCCTAAATTTATTCCGAATATATCCACATCTTAATATCTCCTCTGCCCTAATTCAGGATACCATCCTTCCTTGCTGGTGATAGTTTGCTTTACTACTTTGCCATTTATCATCTTGTCCCCTCTGATCTAGCTTTCACACTTCAACCAGTATGATCTATTTAAAATTCAAAACAAATCACATCATTCCGCCCTTAAAATCTTCCAGTGTCTTCTCTTTTATTTGGAATAAAAATCAGACTCCTCATCATAGTGTAGCATGCCCAAGAATGGTTTTCAGGGTGGGACCCTGGATCAGCAACATCAGCAGCATCTGGAAAATCGTTAGAAATGCAGATTCTCAGGCCTCGCTGGACCAGAAACTCTGAAGGTGGTGTGCTGCTGTCTGTTTAACGAGGCCTCCTGGCAATTTCCACACACACCAACATTGAAGTACCCTGCTATAAATGAACTGACCTCTTCCTCTAATTTCATCTCCTGTTACAGCCACCTTGCTTACTATCATCCTTCCTTTGTACTCAGCTTTCTTTCTGTTCCTCAAACATACCTGACTCATTCCTGCTTTAAACTTTGGATCTTTAGATGGGTTATAGTCTGAGCCCGTGGATGTATACACTGGTGTGCAGAAGACGCTGGTGATCCTCTCTGGGTCACGGAGCTACTAGTAATGTTTGCTATGTATTTATCTACTTTTATACTGAGAAGCAGGAATAGGTTGTTTTTTGTTTTTTGTTTTTAATTTGAAGGAAAAGAGCTTACATGATCTGAAATTTACAGTCTAAACTTTTATAAATAGATACCTGGAGATCTTAGTGTTTGTTTGTTTTTTTTTAAAGATTTTATTTATTTGACAGAGAGAGACATAGCGAGAGAGGGAACACAAGCAGGGGGAGCGGGAGAGGGAGAAGCAGACTTCCCGCAGAGCAGGGAGCCCGATGCGGGGCTCCATCCCAGGACCCTGGGACCATGACCTGAGCCGAAGGCAGACGCTTAACGACTGAGCCACCCAGGCGCCCACTTTTTTTTTTTTAAGATTTTATTTATTTATTTGATAGAGAGAGAGGCAGCGAGAGAAGGAACACAAGCAGGGGGAGTGGGAGAGGGAGAAGCAGACTTCCCGCAGAGCAGGGAGCCCGATGCGGGGCTCCATCCCAGGACTCTGGGACCATGACCTGAGCCGAAGGCAGATGCTTGACGACTGAGCCACCCAGGCGCCCCTGGAGATCTTAGTTTTAAAGTGAAGTTTTCTAATTAAAATTTTGCGTAGCAGTTGAATTCAAAGATGAGCAACACAGTCTGTAAAATAGATTTATACCACAAGGAGATACCACCGCTGTACAGCTGGTAAAATGGCTAAGGTACAAGAAAGCTGACAATAACAAATGTTGACAAAGATCAGAACAACAGAAACTTAATCTCTGCTGGTAGAAATGCAAAACTATACAGCCACTTTGGGAATACAATTTGCCAGGTTTTTTTTTTTTTTTTTTAAGTGAAACATAGACATGCCATATCACCCAGCAGTTTCCCTCTTAAGTATTTACACAAGGGTTTATTAGTAAATATATGGGAATTTTTATAACAGCTTTATTCATAATCACTAAAAACTGGAGGAGTAAGAGGTCCTTCAGTAGAGGAATGGATAAACTGTGGTACATCCATAATAAACTTAACTCATGCAACAACATAGATGAAACTTAAATGCAAGGAAAGAAATCAGACCGCTCACCCCATTTAATCCTCTTTAAGAATGGTAGTAACATTTCATGGTGAGACAGACAAGTGAGAATCCGATTAAGACCACTCAGCAAGTGCAAGAGTCAGTATTTGAACTTGGGTGGTCTGACCCCAAAACCTATGTTCTAAATCATTAAATAGTACACCTGATAAGATGAAGAAATTTGGCAGTATTTAACAAATTATGGTATGAGTGTGGGCCAATTTAATTTCATGGCTAATGCAAGAATGAGATATTATTTAAGCTAATGTCATTTTATGCATAGTTCTTTAATACATTTTATATCATTTTATGCCATGGGTTTGCTTCTTATTACAGTACTCTCTGGCTGCGCTTTTATATGTGACAGTGATTCTCAACCCTGTGTGTGCATAAGAACCTCCTTAGGGAGTGCATCACGTGAGCCCACGCTTTTCTTTTGGTTGGTTTGGGGTGAGTCCAGACAGTATTTTAAGCACTTCTCAGGAGATAGTATGTGCATATAAGGTTGAGAAGCACTGGTGCAAAAAGTATCACTGGGCAACCAGGGTTGAGAACTAGTAAGTCCTAGGGATAAGAAAAAATCTATAGGGGTGCCT